AGAGAGTGTGAGTGTGTGAGTGTGTGTGTGTGTGAGTGTGTGTGTGTGTGTGTGTGTGAGTGAGTCTTTGAGTGTTTGTGTGTGTGTGAGTGAGTGTGAGTGAGTCTTTGAGTGTGTGTGTGTGTTTGAGTGCTTGTGTGTGTGTGTGAGCTGTAGCTTCGCGTCAGGTGGTTCTTGCCTTCACGTCGTGCATTATCCCTTATGTATTCGCTCTTTAGCAGCAGTCTTTGTTTTCGTTTTGCGCAAGCTGCAACAGTTCCGTCCCGTTCCGTGTAACAGAAACACTCAGTTTAGCGGAACCTTTACGATTAATTAACCGTGACGTTTTAAAGCGCGGTTAATCGCGAAACCGGTTAATCGCTGCATCCCTAGTCGGCGCTGATAGCTTGTGGTTTGTGCTGTGCTTCCGGTGACCCGAGTTCGAATCCAGACTCATGGTCCTTTGCCGATCCTTTTCCCCTCTCTCTCTGCCCTATGCTTTCCTTTCGTATCTCCACTGTCCAATCAACAATAAAGGCATAAAATACCCCCAAAATATAACTTCATAAAAGAAATGAGCTTTATAAAACATGTCTCAGTCTGACAGCCATAAAACTCTCCCTGACTAACCCTTGACCTCTGACCCTGTGCTCAGGAGCATGTGAAGTGAAGGATGTTTTCAGATGATCTTGTGTTTAGCAGGAAGTTCTCAGAGGAGATACTCGTCTATGGCCAGAATCCACTCCATGACTATTGAAGCTCCCATCACTAAGGTACATTAGTGTGTGTGTGTGTGTGTGTGTGTGTTTTTGCAGGCTCATGTTAAAAAGTGGGGCATGTATGTGTGTGTGTGTTATTGTGGTTGTGTGGGCTCATGTTTTAATTCTGAAAATGTGTGTGTGTGTAGGTGATAAACATCATCAACGCGGCTCAGGAGAGTAGTCCGATGCCGGTGGCCGAAGCGCTGGACCGTGTGCTGGAGATCCTGCGGACGACAGAGTTATACTCTCCTCAGTTCGGTACTAAAGAGGAAGATCCTCACACCAACGACCTGGTGGGCGGATTGATGACTGTAAGTCTCTCAGCGCCTCTGTGTGTGTGTGAGAGTGTGTGTGTGAGAGTGTGTGTGTGAGAGTGTGAATTTGAGTGTGGGTGTGTGTGAGTGTGAGTGTGTGTGAGAGTGAGTGTGTGTGAGAGTGTGTGTGTGTGTGTGAGAGAGAGTGTGTTTGAGTGTGTATGAGTGAGTGAGTGTGTGTTTCCACAAAACGTAAGCAGAGGTCACCGCTTTATGACCTTTGACCCCATTTCCTGTTCCACTATTCACACCGTTTGTGTTCCAGAGCTGCACCACATCCCAAGTCACCTGACCACACCACTGTCCCTCAACGATATCCCACCATGCATTGCTCAGACGATGGAAAATGAAGACTCATGGGACTTTGATATTTTCAACCTGGAGTCAGCCACCATGAAGCGGTGAGACACACACACACACACACGACACACGCACTCACAAAACTCACGTGCATGCTCACACACATATACAAACACACATAGTACATCTCAACACAAACTCACACACACACACACTTCATTTCATAGCCTTCTAATATTTTTATATCAAGTTAATAATAATGACAACAGAAAAACACAAAACATACTAGAAAACTTGAACATTCTGTACTTTGTTTAGTGGTTTGTTTTGGTTGGTTGTGGTTTTTCCAGTTGAGTGTCTTGTTTCACTCACTTTGATTGTAGTATACTCCCATCTAAACACTCGTGAAGTGTAGATTCTGTACAGGTGTGTGTGTAACGTGACGCTCCTCAAGCCTCTCGGTGTTTATTTCCAGGCCTTTAACGTATCTGGGTCTGAAGATCTTCTCTCGGTTCGGTGTCTGTGAGTTCCTGAGCTGTCCGGAGGCGACGCTGCGCTCCTGGCTGCAGATCATCGAGACCAATTATCACTCCAGCAACTCCTACCACAACTCCACACACGCCGCAGACGTGCTCCACGCCACCGCATACTTCCTGTGCAAGGAGCGCGTCAAGGTGAACACACACACACACACACACACTCTCTCACATACACACACACACACACTCTCACACACTCTCTCATACACACACACAGACACCACACACGCAGACACATGCAAACACACACACGCGCAGACACATGCAAACACACGACACAAACACACGACACACGCAAACACACACACACACACTCTCTCATACATGCACACAGACACCACACACGCAGACATATGCAAACACACACACGCTCACACACACACGCGCAGACACATGCAAACACACGACACAAACACACGACACACGCAAACACACACACACACACTCTCTCATACATGCACACAGACACCACACACGCAGACATATGCAAACACACACACGCTCACACACACACGCGCAGACACATGCAAACACACGACACACGCAAACACACACACACACACACTCTCACACACTCTCACACACTCTCTCATGCATGCACAGACACCACACACGCAGACATATGCAAACACACACACGCTCACACACACAAG